ACTGCTTGTGCCACGCCCTTCTTGCAGAAGTCAGCGCTTAAACTAAAGAGAAACTAACTTTGCAGGTTGGATTGCTGCCAAGGTTTGTCTGAATTGTTACCAAGGTTTGTCAGACTTGCTGCCAAGGTCCTTATCTGTTTGTTTGTTTGGCTTTCAGCCACCGAAAATTCTGGTCTTGTTATTAAAGGACATTCCATTTAAGCTTGTCTCGGCTTTCGTTACTGGACGGAGGAGGGGGTCAGAACAGTTTATGGTCCATTGAGTTTGATGCTACCAACTGAGAGAGACATAAGCTGGATCAAACATACTTACATTTCCTTTGACCACATAATTTGAGTCATTCCTGATGTCTCTTGCAAGACCAAAATCACAGATTTTTGTTATCCGTCCATGAGTAAGTAATATATTCCTTGCTGCCAGGTCTCTGTGAATGCACTGAAGGAATACAATTGCAGAACATATGTGTAAGGCAAGTAAACCAAAGTAATCATCAACACTGCAAATGACTATACAGAGGATATGATGGGAGTTTTAATGATTTATAGCAGAACTCAGGTTTTTGAAGATAAAGGGCATAAGAATCTAAGGAAATGCAAAGCAGCCACGTGTTGTCGCTACATATACAAGATGGTCCTATATTAACACAAAAAATACGCGTTTCAACCTTGTACAAATTTCCATTCACAAGTCATATCTGTCAGTGTTCTGAAGAAATCAGAACTCCGAGGCAGGAAGGTTCCTCAGACAACATGTTTATTGTTACATCATATCGGCACAATTAATGAAAACTAACTCTAAAAAGTTCCTGTGGTTACAATATAATTAAAAGAGTAAAAGTTTCCCTCCCCCCAAAAAAATGTCAGAGGTCATATTGTCCAATCAAAACAGTTGGTTGGTCACTTCTGTTCCTCCTCCAATTGCCACCTGTTGACCTTGGTTCCCACGGGAGAGCTCTTTATTATGTCTACAAGGTGGTCTAGCTATTTCCCCTTCATCCTCCCCCAGTAGTACGTGGCAACTATGAAGCAGCAAAAGATGGCTTCAGCCAGGTTCAATTCCGAGTTGACAATATCATTAAGATTGCAATTCTCAATCCTCCGATAGGTTAAAACATGCTTCGGAAGAATATTCTGTAGAAACCAATGGCAATGCGTTTGTTCACCATTTCTAAATTAAAGCACAATCTTGTTGCTTCTGGGACAGGATCTGTGGGCCACCATATTGGTGGCTCTTTCTTCCTGAGTCTGGAGAGAGGATTCTGACGTTGGAGGAGTTGCATCTGAATTGACCCTTCTTTGTACACCAATCCACTAGGCTTGATGATCTTATTTAGATCATTCTTAATTCAAAAACCATCACAGATGTTGGAAGAGGAGGAATAGAAGAAGCCCTTCGCCACGTGCCAATCCAAGAAGACTATTGATATCGACAATTTTTGCTTATTTAGTTCAAGTAACATGATGTTTCTCACAGCAAAACATTGTATACTTGAGGCCAAACATGCAATATAATATTGTTTTAGAAGTTATAATACAGAGCACTGAAGAACTTGCAGATTTCCTACCTATCTCAATTGGAGATGCATTACCATAAATTGGTGCTACCCTCTGTCTGTCTGTCTGTCTGTCTGTCTGTCTGTCTGTCTGTCTGTCCATCTGCCTGCCTGCCTGATTGCCTGCCAGCCTGGCTGCCTGGCTGCCTGCCTGCCTGCCTGCCTACCTACCTACCTACCTACCTACATACCTACCTACCTCCCTACCTACCTACCTACCTACCTACCTACCTATCACTGTATATATGTATTATTATTATTTATTATTATTATTTATAAAATTATGTATAAAATGTACATAAAATATATGTTCCAGCATAACCCTGGAGCGCCTTGAGCAATTTCAACCAAACTTGGTACACAGATGATTTACCCTCTGGAAACAAATACGGGGGTGGGGGGGGTCTCTGTGTGTGTGTTCCGCATAACTCTGGAATGCCTGGCCCGTTAAGGAGAACGAGTGTGGCATTCTAGAGCGGCAATTGTTTGTGATGTCAGTTCCTTCGCAGCTTCCTCTGGAAAGCCAGCTGTGACATTCGCCCTCCATTGGACCTGATGCATTTGGGGCAAAGTGCCAGGATCGTAGACAGGGCAGGAAAGAGGAACACATGGGAGAGGGAAGGGAGAGGGCAAGGATGATGGGCATGGGAGTAGAGGGAAGAAAGGCTCCTCCCAATGGCTCCCTGTCAGACATCTATAAATATCCGGGCAATGACGGGTTATCAGCTAGTCTAATATAAAGGCAAAGACTAAAAAAGTGGGATCAGAATTCCTAATGATTCTACAGGATAACTTAGAGATTGCCCTTCTCTAGAAGGTTTACTAACTTTGAAAATACAGAGAACATCATGATTCTTATATGAAAGGCTTCCTGGGGAGAAAATATGACAATCTAATATCATTATATACATATATTTTTTTAAAAATAAACTTCCCTGAGTTTCTACTTACATTTTTAGCTGAAAGAAAGCTCATCCCCTTTGCTACCTGGTAAGAAAAACTTAAGAGATCTTCAACATCCAGAGCCAGTTCATCATCTTCTAAAATGGCAACAGTGACATCCGGATTAGCCAAGGAGCCTAACACGCGGGAACAATAAATGGAGAAATAATGTCACTTGGAAACAGAGCGGACATTTGATCAACAGGGCACGGCGCCAAGGCCCTGCAGAAATGCTATTCAAATAAATGCTATTTAATGTTTAAAAAGAAAAAAAAAGAATGCAAATTCCCCCCAAGCCAACATAACATTTTAACATTGCTTTTATTTCTTTTATCCTACATTTTATTTTAAGTGGCCACTGTCAGGGTTCCAAGTAACACCCCCGCAACAAAAGAAGACTCCGAGGCTGGAGTTTTCTCAAAGTTCCATTTTATTAGAGATGTCCTATCGGCACATCTGGGAAAACCTGAATCTGAAAGCCTCCAGGTTTTCCCCACCCAAGTGAAAGTTCAAGTCCCTGCCCGGCACCCACATGTCCATCACACATGGCCCAATCAAGCGCCATCCAAAACTGGAGATGCCTCCCAGTCACCTCATCTCAGCTGCAGGGCAAGGTGGCCTTGACTCTTTGAGAAAAGAATGTTATTTTGACTACATATCACCCACACTCCATATAATCCCCACTCCTGTTTTCCCACAGTAGCAAATGTGGCAGGCCCAAATGTAAAAGATGGCTTCCAGGTCGGACAGCCACGTTTAAACAAATATCAACAATTTCAGAACAAAGGTTCCCACCCTTCCCCAACCCCAAAAAATTACCTAGTCTTTTAGTGGTTTTGGCGTGGACGATTTGAGAAACTCCTGGTTTCATGTCCATGTACTCATTGGTGGCATCACTGTGTGGAAAGCAGAGGGGATATGAGACTAATTCATACATGGAGTTTACAAGAACAAAAGAAGTATATAAAATATTCAATTGCTAAATAACCACATTTCTTGAAAAGAAATGGGAATCTATTATTAACTTGATGAAAGGTGATGATACCTAGCTATGGGACCGAAGATACTACTGTGAGTGTTATATTTGAATTCTGACATTTTACGAGAAAGGATCTTAGAATTAATCATGAAAAGACAGTTTAAATAATAAGTTATTTGGGCTGAAGAAGGTTAATCTTCTTTACCGAGCCAAAAAGCTTTCCCCTTTTCCAAAGGCTATCTTGTTGTAGGAAATTCCCTTTATTAATTGACTGACCTCCTGAGAAATGACTTTTCACTGATTCTGTTTGAATAACACAAATTAAATAAGAAAGCAGCAGATTGTAATGTTAAGAGGTCATTTTGTGTGCAGATAAGTTCTTGTCAGAAGGAATAGTTTAACTTGACCTGATAATTTTTTTTAATCTGATTATTTAAACCTCCTGAAATAATTTCTACTTTGCATTATACACTTTGGGCAAAAATCATTTAAAAATTAAAAGGTTCTGATCTCTTTTAGCCTGGAGCACCTGACCATAGCTATCTGTATCTTCTCTTAACTAGTTGACAGATCCAAGCCAACTTTGGCTAGTTCAAGAGACTATGAAGAAATGAATTTCTTTAGCACATTTATAGGAGATCATGTGATAGTAGCGATAGTCATTCTGGGGCTGAGTAATTTCGATAATTAACGGAACAATATTTATGACCCAATGGGTTAGTTGGAAGAGATGCCCAAAGGAAATGAACTGGACTGTGATTCCTAAATGAATTTGTAAATCTCAAGCTAAGCAGATTTGTCACAACAAATCGGCTTTGCTTTACCAATACAAGTTGCTTTGTTTTAATACAAGGCACCTGGCCGTCTCCAAAACTTCTGATCTAGGCTTCCCAAGAGCGGGAAGCAAACTCCTAGTTTGACAAAAAAAAAAACCTTTTATTAATTTATGGTGAATTCTTCTCATTCACATCCAGCAAAGTCTTTCAAGGGAGGATTTATCTGGCTGGGAGAGCTGTCAGGCCGATATCTGCAATGGAGAGTAACGAACCAATTAAGCAAACTAATTATCTCTCGCAAACTTCGCTCCCCTTTCTCTCCTCTTTTATTTCCTCTGGGAGGGGCCATTCATCATCTGCCTTATTCTCAAATTGACCCCTGTTCTTTAGCTGTTCTCTTCTCCTGGCAACTCTGCACATGCGCACACTGGGAACAGGCTCCACCTGTTCATCTGCCTCACTGATGTCTGAGTCTGAAGGGAGCTGATAACTCTACTTCTGACACAGAGTCGAGGTGGCGCAGTGGTTAAGTGTGCTGTACTGCAGGCCACTTCAGCTGACTGTTATCTGCAGTTCAGCAGTTCTAATCTCACCGGCTCAAGGTTGACTCAGCCTTCCATCCTTCCGAGGTGGGTGAAATGAGGACCCGGATTGTTGTTGGGGGCAATATGCTGACTCTGTAAACCGCTTAGAGAGGGCTGAAAGCCCTATGAAGCGGTATATAAGTCTAACTGCTATTGCTATTGCTAACTGTGGCTCCCCCAAACTCTCTTTTTGAAATGTATAGCATGTAGATAATGAAACATTGCTCAACCCCAGATGAATGTATAGAAAACCTATAACATCAAAAGAATAATTGAAACTCCCTCTTAAAAAGAAGACTAAAGTGCTAAAGACTTGCGCATCATTAATCCAGAATTTGCATCCTTGCAGAGAAACCAGCTTCTTGAGTGGATATGGTACCAAATTGCTGTGTTTTCCCCAAAATAAGACCCAGTCTTATTTTCTTTTGACCTCCCCCCCCAAAAAAAACGGCTAGGATGTCCCCACCCTAGCTCAATTTTTACCTGTATGGCTTGCCTCATTCATGCACCGCAGAGTGGGCAGGGTCTTAACTAGGGCTTATTTTGGGGGGGGCGGCTTATATTGGGCGTGCATGTAAAAATCAAGCTAGGATTTTCGGGGTAAGGTCATATTTTCGAGGAAGCACAGTATTTAAATAGCTTCCCTGTGTGGCTTGCCTCATTCCTGCACCCAAGAGTGGGCAGGGTCTTATATTTTGGGGGGGCTTATATTGGGCATGGATGTAAAAATCAAGCTAGGACTTTCGGGGTAAGGTCATATTTTCGAGGAAACGCGGTTATTTAAATAGCTTATATGAAAGACACACAGAGTATATATTGTACTGGACCCAATTCTGAAGAATAGTGAATTTATAAATGAAAAGAATCAACACCTCCCCCCCTCTCTCCATCCCCTGCCTGTACATCTCTCGTAAAACAGGCAATTCAATTTCTGAAAGCCGAAAGCCTACAAAAATGCACTGTGGTTTCCTGGGAATAACAACTGCCAATTCTGGCAACACAGCCTTACTACATGTGTTCTTTCTGATAGAGGATGTTCTTGTAAACAGCTGCTTCGTCAGGCCTCTGGCAAATAAAGGAGTCTCGTTTCCTCCTTAGGAAATTCAAAAGGTCGCCATAACAGCAATACTCAGTGATGACCAGGGTAGGACCTGCAGATGTAAAGGAAGTGTGTGAAGAGTGGGTGAATTCTGCGTTCTGTCTGAGACCTTTTTTTAAAAAAAAAAATTTTTTAAACAAGATTATTTGTCTAGGCGTATAAAAATGAGCCTTTTCAAGCCGCGCTTTAGATTAGTCAAAGCAAAATGACATCAGCAACATCTTCTTTCAGAAGCTGGGTTTTCATCCCGATTAAAATGCTGTCATTTCCAATTAATTATTCCCGCACATCAATAGGACTGCAGTGCAGAAAGACACACACACGCGTACACACTAATCCTGTTGTTAATGGCGCAAACCAGATACATCTGCTTCATTTTAAAGAACTTCCTGAAGGGACACCTCCATTCCAAATACAAGCGTTTAACGTTTATTCTTTTGATTTACCCCATTTATTATTCATATAGTAATGTTAGAAACAACATTAAATATTATAGTTCTTGGTGTAATAGGAGGGGAAAAACACACACACATTTGGACAGAACAGCCAATTAAGACTGAAAGCCCAGATGCTTATGACTTTTATAAAACATATTAAAAAAATGGCAGAATCAGCTTGTCTATAGTACAAAATATTTTTATATCAAAGATGTGGGTTCCCAATGCTTGCCAGCTAATTTAAAAAATTGGAATATGTAACATTATCTGGAATTTCAATTATTGAATGCTGGGCTGGTGCGAGTAGATCATAATAATTCTCTTAATTATCCTAAAGGATATTTTGCTAACTAGCCTTCTAGACGGTTTGTCAAAGTAAAATTACTACTTTTTTATGCTGCGGTGGATATCATAAAACGAACTTTAACCACCACTGGTTGGGGCAGAAAGACAAATAGAATCACAGATAAAGCCTTATTTATTATATAATACAGTAGATAATCAACAAAACACGCAGTTGGAAGGCTCCTGATTGGTATTCTTGTAAGTCAAATGGACTCACTCTGAGAATACTCCTTTTTTTCCCCTCTACCCACAAAAGATAAGACTGCATTGTGTGTCTACTGAGAGCTTGTAGATCGTTCTCCAGCAAGAGTTTGCTCTAATTAGCATTTGAAGCTTTGCAGAATTTTGTTACCTGAAACCGCTGATGGCTTCTTTTATATTTAGATTATGCCTATTCTGTCTTTATGATACTTCCCAGTCTTGGAATAAGATCACCATCAGTACAGTGTGCCGACTGGGTTCAAAACGAAAAGATTACTTATTTATGATGAGATACACAGACATTATGAATTCCTCAGGGTGCCCAGAAGAAATGAAAGCAGCTTTCCGTCAATGCTCGGCCTCAAATACACAGCCAGGCCCTTATTTTTAGAAACTCTGAAGTGTGAATGGCTTTATCCTTCCTTCTCTTCTGAACGCACTCAACAAACACCATCAGAATCCTACCTCCAATAGTACAGGCTCCGAGCAGGTTCACAATATTGATGTGATTGCCAAGGTAACTCAAGACCTTCAGTTCTGACATCAAGGCTTCCTTTTCGGTGAAATGAGCACTGGCTAGAAAAAGAAAGAAGATGGAACTCAGCAACATGGAAGTGAATAAAAAAAGGAAGGAGGAGGAATACTAGATACGTTTCCCTTTACAGAATAAAAAACAGTAAAGGTGGGATAAAAACCAACAACCTTATTATGTAATATTCCAATATCCAATGACACTCAAGACCGGGGCGGGTCAAACTCGATTTCATTGAGGGCCGCATCAGGGTTGTGTTTGATCTCTGGGGGGCGTGGCCAGAGGTGTGGCCAACTTGACATCACTCATGTTGGGGGCACCGATGGTGGCCTGAGCGCCCTGCCAGCAAAAACAGGTTCCTGAGCTCCATTTTCAGCTTTGATGGCCTCCTGCAACACTCTGCCAATGAAAATGGAGGGGGGGGGGCCTCCATTTTTGCTGGCAGAGGCAACATGGACCGGTCCTTTGCTGTTCTGGCCCCATATTGCCTGTTAGTTGCTAACAGTCCTACCTATATAACATTAGCTTGTTTTAAAAAAAATTAAATAAATCATCGTTAATATAATATACATACAATAATACAATAGCAGAGTTGGAAGGGACCTTGAAGGTCTTCTAGTCCAAACCCCTGCCTAGGCAGGAAACCCTATACCGTTCCAGACAAATGGCTAACCAACATCTTCTTAAAGACTTCCAGTGTTGGGGCATTCACAACTTCTGGAGGCAAGCTGTTCCACTGATTCATTGTTCTAACCATCAGGAAATTTCTCCTCAGTTCTAAATTGCTTCTCTTCTTGATTAGTTTCCACCCATTGCTTCTTGTTCTGCCCTCAGGTGCCTTGGAGAATAGCTTGACTCCCTCCTCTTTGTGGCAACCCCTGAGATATTGGAACACTGCTATCATGTCTCCCCTAATCCTTCTATTCATTAAACTAGACATCCCCAGTTCCTGCAACCGTCCTTCATATGTTTTAGCCACCAGTCCCCTAATCATCTTTGTTGCTCTTCTCTGCACTCTTTCGAATCTCCACATCTTCTTTACATCATGACAACCAAAATTGGATGCAGTATTCCAAGTGTGGCCTTACCAAGGCATTATTAAAGGGTATTAACACTTCACGTGATCTTGATTCTATCCCTCTGTTGATGCAGCCTAGAACTGACATATCCAGTTCCTGCAACCGTTCTTCATATGTTTTAGCCTGCAGTCCCCTAATCATCTTTGTTGCTCTTCTCTGCACTCTTTCGAATCTCCACATCTTCTTTACATCATGACAACCAAAATTGGATGCAGTATTCCAAGTGTGGCCTTACCAAGGCATTATTAAAGGGTATTAACACTTCACGTGATCTTGATTCTNGTTTAGGGTTAGGTTTAGGGTTAGGTTTAGGGTTAGGTTTGGGAATGCACGGATTTGCCCTCTGCGATTATGTCATCGTGGTATGGTCGCGTTTTTTCTTAGCGCTTCGAATGGCGCGAATTAGTTTTCGCACTTATGTCTCCGCGGATAAGGGCTTCGCGGATTTGTGGTGGAACCCAGTTTCACAATATCAAATCTATGTTTCTTAGATTTATGAAGGTACCATCTGAAGCCCCCATCAACAGATGTTAAGAACCTGCAAGATTTTATATTTAGAATAACTACAACTCTTATTTGCTGATCTATGTTCCTGCAGGAACTGAATGTGCTGTTGCCCTGGCTTTGGAATGCAATTCTGGTTCAATGGCTTGGCTTGACTTATTCATTAAAAAAAAAAATACACCATTTATAATAGAATTAAGTGTTCGTTTTAATTGTCTTTCGTGCCTGTGTGTCTATATATTGTGTATTTCTTTGTCTCTTAAACATCTCTGGTTTTAATTCTGGTTTTATGTTTTATTGAATTGAATTGAATAATAAAATTCAATTCAATTCAATAATTCAATATTGTAATCCAGGGAGACAATTGTAATACAGATGGAACATTATGCTGTATTCTTCCTAGCCTTGAATGCTACACTCACGGCCTTATTTGGGCAGCTATAACTGAATATGACTATGTGTTTATTTTTCAAAACAACTGTTCGTACTTCTGGTTGGATGACCAGTATGGCACAGAACACATCTGTTTGTATTATTGAGCTAAGGTTATTCTAATAACAAATTGAATGAGGCTCTAAGAGAACATTTCCACATTTTTACACTGCAAACAGAATATAGAGGTGCATTTTTGTCCTGTAACTTTTTAAATAGGGCTCTTGTTTCTCTTGGCACATTCCTCAAATCAGCTGTGTTAAAATCCCTAATATAACAGCTGTAAGGTAGCAAAAGCACTTAGACTTATGTACCATTTCACAGTGCTTTTACAGTCCTCTCTAAGTGGTTTACAGAGTCAGCATATTGCTGACACTCTGATGATACTCTCTTTTTGTCTAAACAGAAATACTCTCTAAACAGAAATCTGGGAACTGGAGGGAGGGATTCATGCAGTGCGTTAAATAATGATATTATTAGTTGTATGAAATCTGTTGTGGTCTTGTAAATCATGTTTTATGTCTTAGCATATTGGGATGAAACTATCCTTATTGCTTCATTGAGCATAACGAGGTCTTGATATATTGTGCAGATCTAATAACAGAATAGCAAAACCCGAGATCAGTTGAATGAACAATTTCTTGATATCAGTGTTCTAGCAATAGTCCGGAACAAACACAAAATGTCCTTGGCTTCTCCTGGCTTCTGTTGTAAAGTAACATGTGCTTTGCAGGCAGAGTATTTGACATTTGCTCTGTTTTCCTTCTTTCCAAAGATGGCTTCTTCATGTTTCAGCAAACACCCATGGTGGAAATTGACGGGATGAAGCTGGTACAGACACGGGCCATCCTCCGTTACATTGCCACGAAATACAACCTGTATGGGACGAACCTGAAGGACAGAGCATTGTAATGTCCCCACTGTATTTTTAGCTAACTGGAAATCCCAGTCGGAGCCCTGTCTGTTGTCCCTGCCTTTGATTCAGTCACATAAGAGGATCCCTCTCACTGCAATAAATTGTGGCCTACTCCTCAAAATACTACATGGGCTAGTCCACCATATTAAACCATAAGGCTTGTTCAGCAGCACATGCTAGTTTTGCTTGCAAGCCCATCAGTGGTGGGTTTCAAAAATTGTTCAAACCTACTCTGTGGGTGTGGCCTCCTTTGTGGGAGTGGCTTGCTGCCCATGTGACCGGATGGGAGTG